ATATACTTTTTAAAAAATTAAAACTGAAACAGCCCACTAATAAACTGATTCATATTTGGAAACAACTAGATTTATATACTTAAGAAACTTACTTCTATTACTGTAATTAAAATTATGCTGCTTACTTATATGCTTATTAACTCATGAATTTTGTACTTGACAGGACAAAAAAGCTATGAAACTCACATCACGTGAGTCCTTTGTTTATTTCATGTTTCCTGTGCCATTAAAAATACAGTGGGCCTTTAAATAAGGAGTTAAGTATGTAGTCCTTTGACCATCTTTAAACTGCCATTTTTTGAGACAAATAGCTTATGATTAATATTCCCACCAATGACGGGGAAACTCTAATTGAATAGACTTTCAGGTAATCAGTGTAGATGATTCTGATAAATGATCTGAAGGAATTACAGAATGTAATGAAATCTGTCTATTTTCTGTGAAATTCAGTGCCTTCTTTGACTTCCAACTTGTGTTAATATGACAGATGGAAAAGTGTAGGTGTGGGACTACATCCCTGAGATTGACAGCAGGTAGAACTCTCCAGCCTGTATTTCTCAACTCTGTGATGTATTGTGGTGTCATCTAACATTGCAAATGATTCAGACTCATGATGGACTTTAAATGTTAGATAATTAAATGCATAAGTACTTCAACAAATACCAAAAATGTTATACCACTTTAAAATGCAGTACTTTCTCTCCTCCCCTTCCACTGTACTTTCCTCCCACTTCTGGCGCAGCAAGTAAAAGTAATATTTTACCTTTAGTTTCTTAACTGTTACATTGATGTTACTGATGAAATCTTTGGTATTTATCAAGGGAAAATGTTTGTGTTCAGCTAAATTTAGCACTTGCTCCAAGGGTTTGAGTTCTTCTTCTAGGCACTGAAGATGCCGCAATTCTGAGGGCTAGTATAATAATAAAAATAGTTATTAGCTCATCTACCCTATACTAAACATCCAAATTAGAAGTTAATCTACAATTTATTTTATTAAGAGTAGTAGTGCGTATTTCCCCCATTATCTCTGTTCCTAGTGTTGCTGTAAAAGTGGACCAGCATAATTTACGTTACAAAACTGGAATAACAAGGGCTCAAAAATTTAGGATTAACTGTTAGTTAATAATAATGAGTCATTTGTTTCAGTTTAGTTAGGCTTTGTAAAAAGTCAACATTTCTGCATCCACATGTAAATCACAGATGTGGGGTACTTTTCCAGTCTACATGGATGTCATTAGAACTACAGCCCTCACAGTACGTAATATAAGAATTGTACTCTATAAATCTAATACTTGGTGATCTGAGTTGAGAATCACACAATGTTACAAAATTGAAGGAGCCCTGAGTACCATCTTATCATAGTCCTGAAAATGTTATATATTAAATTATTATAACCATGCAGTAATGAGTCTTAATATTGCCTGACAAGACACATGTAACTATATCTTAAATTTTTACTTTTCTGCAGTTACTACAAGATTGATTGATTGATTGATTTTGGTATCAGAGATCGAACTCAGGACTTTGCACTTGTGAGGAAGGTGGTGGAACCACTGAGCTAAATCCCCAGCCCAGCAAGATTTATTTTTGAAAAAAGTATTTGTCCCAACCAAATTAAAAGCATAATACTTGGTCAGGATTTTTGGACAGGTCTATAGACAAATAGTTAGATAGAATATAGACAGTACTTCATACTATGAAGGTACATTAAAATTTCCATAAGTGTTTTCTCCTAAATAAGCCTCCTTAAGTTCACAACCACATCTGAGATAAGCAGTACATTAATGTTATCTCCATTTTACAAATAAGAAATCTAAATCTCAGAATTAGTGTCTTCCCCAGGACACATGAGCAGGTGGAGCTAAGATTAAATTTTAACTTTTTCCTTATAACTTTAGTATAGCATCCTCTGAATCAAATGGCTGAATTTCTAACATTGCTTGTATATGTGAAATGATAGTTAAATGAACAAATTAATGGAGTTTATCACATTACTCTGGGTTTCAAATAGTTTCAGTTGTCATTTAGAAACAGATTTCAAAGCTGAGTTCAGTCCCCAGTACCAGAAACAGATTTCAAAGAATTCCACCACCCTTTAAGTTATGAACACATTCTCATGTCATCTTTCTAACAATCATTAGAAAAAAGGTAAAACTAGACAACATGCATTTCTTGATATGTCCTTCTACTGCCCTTTCAATTTATTAGTACAAGTTCTATCAATTCAAGAGTTAGCTTTTTGGTATGGACAATTTAGAACTATTTCCTTCAGAATCAGTCTAATGGATTTTTATTGCTGGAGTTAAAAGTTGCTAATTCTTTTTCTTTCTTTCTTTTTTTTTTTTTTTTTTCGGTGGTACCAGGGATCAAACTTGGAACCTTGTGCTTGCAAAGGAGGCAGCAGAACCACTGAGCTAAATCCCCAGACCAAAAGTTGCTAATTCTAATTCTAATAAAAGAGCATCTGCAACCTATCTCATTTTCCTTTCAATAGAGTAGCTTGAAGCAGAATTCCGTTGTTATAATAGGAGTGGATCAACAGTATCACATCTTTGTCCCCTTAAATTCCATCTTTGGAATTTACCCTACTGCAAGCTCGCTCTTTTGGCACCAAAGTTGTACCCATTCTGTTTACTAGTGATGTAGCTGTAGAAGCCCAAGTAATTTATGGCTTATCATATAACTCTCTGAATCTCAAAACAACCAAATGGAGCTTTTAATTTTGGGGGAAAATGCCATATAGTATTTTAAATTTCTAGTTTTATTGGTTACAAAATATTAGTCCAAAATTTTTCTTTATACTTCCCAGCAATAATTTTATCTTCACCACTAGTAATGATAGCTCATGTTACATAATTTTTACTACTTGCCAGAAATTGTTGTGAATTTTCACAAAACTATATTAAGGACATGCATTATTATTTTTGTAAGTAGATAAGAAACTGACTTGCAAAGAAAATAAATAAGTTGCCTGAAGTCATGAAAGCGAGAACATGGCAGAGCTGGGATTTCACTTCTGATAATCTGGCCCCAAAGTCTGTGCTTTTAGTTATTAGGCTATGCAAAATCTCAAAGACAGACTCTGAGAAAAATCTTTCCTGGAACAATAAGGGTTAAGTGAGCTTCTCTGAAATCACTTTTGATTTTTATATCTAAATTGATATGATCAAAAATATCTGGAGTTTTACATTTTTAAATAAAACAGTAAGTCAACAATTTTTAAAAACTTCCAGGAACAAAGTGAGAATATTATTGCTGTTCTTTCTTCCCACTCCCTCTCCCGCAACACATAAGCACCTATAAAAATATAAACAAAACCATTCTAATGGAAGCCCCATTATCAAACTTATAGCTTAAAAAAGATATTGAAGTTATTTTCTTTTCTCCTCAACTGAAGCACTATCAATCTAATTACTGTGCAAATTCCATATTACTTTTAATTGTATTAAAATATATATAAATATTAAAATTGTACTTACCTTATTGGGAAAGTAGAGTTTAGGTTTTAGCATCTTGGAGATTTTGGGATTCCTCTGAGAAAGAACAACACATTGTTGTTAGAAAATGAACTCCAGCAAGAAAAAAATAATAGCAATAATTTTAGTAAGAAAGAGAATATACTTACAGTAACTCCGTCCCAAATCACCTGTAAATCCAGCAGTAATTGCTCCAGTTGTTCCTGTGTTTCCCTTGTAGAGCTTGAAGTAGGTGCACTGCTCGTGATGAGTGCAAGAGTTAGTGCAATGCAAGACAAGAGTAGCGTCTTGTACATTGTGGCAGGAGTTGAGGTTACTGTGAGTAGTGATTAGAGAGGGCGACAGGAAGCTTTTGAACAAGAGAAGCAATTTATACTGTTAATTCTGGAAAAATAATATGGGGGTGTCACAATGTTTTACATATTACACATATTTTCAAAGACTCTACCTGTGTGGCAGAAAGCATTACCTTTGTTTTTCCTCTTCTGATGACTCTTTGGAATTTCTTTAAACCCCCATAAACTGACTGGATGGATGTAGGTGAAATCCCTCTTGGTTACATTAGCCCACACTTAGGCAACAGTTTTAATGTGTACAACTAACGCCTTCTGTGTGAAACAATTTTTTCCTCTTTTCTTTAAGGGGGTGGAGATACAAAAGCAACTCATGAAAATTTTCTCTTTGTCATAAAACTATGCTGAATGTGTAAGCAGCATGTTGTGATGGACAAGAAGAGTAAATAGATGAAATGAATAAATTTTAGATTTGTTGATTAGACAGGAAGAATACTGGTTTCCTGTTTCAGGATGGTTTTACCTTTTTATCTACATCATGAGCTAATTGTGTACAATATGATAGATTACTTCTTACACTGTTAGCTAGAGAAATATTAAGACTTACTGAGTTTGAAATAATGTTTTATTCTGTCTTTAAGTTGTTTCTGCATGTGTTGAAATGTCTTACTGTCTGTTGTACTTTTTAAAGAATGTGATATTTAACAAATACTGAAAAAAGTATTCAAGGATGCTAATACAGTTTTATAATAGACTCTATATGTGTCATATATAAATCAATCCATGTTTCTACTTATGTTTTCTCTGTAATTGATTTGGATTTTTTCCTCTAAAGCACCTGTGACATTACCATTGTAAGAATAGTGATTGTGAAATATGAGCAGATAAATATTTTTTAGTTGGTAAACTGGATCTAATACTTAGATGTGTTCATTCATCCTCAATATAAAGCACTAACTGGCTGAATGATGGTATAGCTATGTATTCCTATTCGAGGGAGAACTGAAAATATCTTTCTCAAAGAGATTGCCTGTAACACCTCTATCTTTACTGCATTATTCATTTTTAGTCTAATCTTTTACCAGACATTCATGTAGTATAAAACACCCTCTGATGTATAGAAGGGAGAGTATGGGGGAGTATGCAGTCACACAAACCAATTTAAACATTACATAAACCTGCGAAGTGATGGTTCTCAGTTTGTCCCAGTTTGCAGATTTAAAAACTAAGAATGAGAGAAATTAAGTGTAGTAACTTGTACTAGGTCACTGAGCCCTGACTGTCAGTAAGAGGCAGGACAAGGATTTGAAACTACCATACAAATATTGACTCCAAAAGCCGCCCCCTTACCATTTATATTCTTTCTCAACCTGATGTATAATAAGAAAGCTAGATACCTAGACAAATGTAATCCTAGGTAAAAGGTGCGTGTTTTGTCAGGAGAAAGGAATGCAAAATATTTGAACAATAAACAATTACACTAAACTGAATTTTGACAGCGAGGAGGGTGAGAGAGGCAGAAATGGCTAAACACTATAAGGAACACTCAAACGTAAGCTTTTACAAAGGACGGTGAAAGTGGCTTAACAATACTTATATATGCATTGGGCAATATTATAGAGAATATAAAACATCTTCATAAAAATTAAGACAAGCATCACATTTTCTTAGGTAAAAAAATGAAGATAAAGCCAAATTAGAGACAAATCTTATGATGTTTTTCTGTTACCTAATATTTCAAAACATCTCTCTGTATCTTTCAAATTAAAACTCCGGCATTGTTGTAAGAAGGCTCTTTGCTGATGTGCATGTCGACTTTATTGCACTTGTTTCACTTCTCTCAAACCCTCAGTGTCTCATCCCAGCATCATCAGCTCAACCCTTTCCCCTTCCAGAATGGAAGAACTCAGGCCCACGCATTTTCCTGTGTGGGGACTTTTCTAATGAGACCTTTAGTGTTCTCAGGGTCTTGGTATTGATATTTCTCCAGATATTTCCATTAGAGAATGGGGCACTATATACATTTCTGGGACCTTGTAGAAAATTGAGTCTTGGACCCATAACTTATAGCTATTGTTGTGTAATAGGGACACCAGTACAAAAGTTGGCCTTATCATTTCTCTATTGAAATGCTTGAGGAGAAAGCTACTGTACAATGTGTCATACTTTCTATTTTTAACATGTCTGACAAATAAGCTGGCTTTTCTGGCTAACTCTAGTGGTGACATGATCAGTACAAGATTGCTAACTACCACAAATGTTATACCCCCTCACTTCTCCTTTCACCATGTAAAATTTTATTACTCAACAAGAAGCTATTTTAGTTGCTTAGCATTTTGTGTGTGTGTGTGTGACTCTGCTTCTTAGAGCTGAGTAACCCAAGTCTTTAAAAAGGTTAGCCTCAGTCCCTATATCTGCCTACCAAAGAGTTGGTCAGTCTGTTGCACATATTTTCCATTTATCAAACCTGATTTTCAAGGACCCCATCCCCACAGGAATTTCTTTCCTCCAATTTTCTTTCATGGTTTTGTAAAACCTTCATCTGGTCTAGAGGTCGATGCCTATCTTAATGTATGTCTTGTCAGTCTCTCCAAAAGCCTCTTGGCCTTTCAGTTCAGATTCAGTTCTCTCCCTTTTAAATAAGGCCACACTGTTTGATAATGTTTAACATACCATGCCATCCAGAGAGAATTCAGCTCAGAGTTTGTGGCTCCTGTGAACACAGATTTATGGATTTACAGAAGTGTCACATTTTGAAGTACCACAGATCTGATAAAGAAATCTAGGCATCAACTAATGCCTGAGGAAATCTACATTTTCACAGAATACACAAAACTTCTAACTGCTGTATGTGCTGTTCTTCTGAGTGGTAAGTTTAACGATGTTCACAACCTTTTGGTATGGAAGAATTATTTCATTGGTCCTTCTAATTTTTCAAAGGTTTTCAAATTTTTTAACTTACTGAATGATGTTTTACTGATTAGAAATTTGACCTCTGCCAAGTTAAGTTATTTGCCTTAAATCACATTGTTAATTAGAAGTGAAGTTAGAGCAAAACCACAAATCTTCCTGATCTGTTACAGTATTAACTATTCCACTGTAAGGTAGTAGTGCCAAACTCTGGGCTCACTGGGTTACAGAGAGCAGACTGCATGTGACTGAACCTGCCACTCCTCCCTGCAGTCTGGCAGTGATAGCTGACAAGCCAGGCTAGGCGTCCTTCACCCTCAGCACCACACCTTGCCTGACCAGAGTTAGGATCTCTTATGAACTTAGATGAATTCACATGGCAGCTATGAAAGCTAGTTTTTCCTTGTGTTTTTAAATATCTTTTGGGCATATTTTTTAAATGCTGGAACTTTTAATGGCTCCTGATGTTTCTCCTGTATCTCATATAGGAAATGATTATAGGGCCTGTAGATTTACGCTGAATAGTGCCAAAGTCATAACATTCTAAGGCTGGCACGGCAGTTCTGCACCAGGAATTGTTGGTGTTGGCAGCTCCCTACTTAAATGTGGTGGGCATGGGAGTATCTTACTTTTTGGAATTTTACTTTTTGTGTAAATGTGAGACCCCTATGGCAAGTCACACAGAAATTACTGGAGTTAGAATGTGATAATCTGATGATAGCATAGATGCACAAAACACTTCAACTTTACAAAACACCTTTGCATCCATTTACCCCATTTGATGTATTTTGATCTTGTTACTTTGCAAAATAGTTTAAAAAAGAATTGACTCCTTTTCCGAGTTTCATACAGCCAGGGGAACATTACTGTCTTTATACATGAAAAAAATCACAGGTAAATATTAGCTTTCTCGCCAAGATAAATGCAAAAACTTGCAAAAATAAATCTGTTACTTACAGTCATGTTAATCTATCTACATCTAATTATTTTCCCTGTCTAATCTTGTATCTAAATTCTCTATTGGAGCTGGGGACTTAGCTCAGTGATTCCACCATCTGCCTCACAAGCACAAGGTCCCAAGTTCGATCCCAGGTACCAAAACAGATAAATAAATAAATTCTCTATTCACAGTTTGTTCTTTCCGCTTCTCCTATAGTGGCTTTGGGTATGCTATTGACAGAGTCCATTGTTTCAACATTCCTAATATTTATAAGTATGTATTCACTTCATTCTTAATTCTCTTCTCTCTTCTTGACTGGTATCAGCGTAGGTAAACAGCTGTGGACTCTGCACAAGAGAAGGTCAAGATTTGTGCAGAGTTTATTTCAGCTCTTAAGACAAGGATTACAGATTAGCACACATAGACTCTCTCCCTCTCTCTCTCTCTCTCTCTCTCTCTCTCTCTCTCTCATAAGGTTGGATATTCTATTTCCTGCAGTTTGGATTGATAGGACATAATTTATTTAGATCATTAGCATCAGATGTCAGTGAGGGTAACTTGTGAATACAATTGTTAAGTGCAGTAGGGAAAATAGAAAATAATGGGAGCAAGGATCTTTACTGTAATGATTAAAGTTAGCCTGCCAAATTGAAGGCTAGGAATAAAACAGAACAACTAATAAGCACTTTATGGTGTAAAATTTTCAGAAGACAGAATACAAAGAACACTACCAAGAATCAGTCATATTCTCATCAGCATGGCTTGGTCACGTCATTAGCTCCTGCTCTGACTGTCTTGAGTTAGCAGTCTATCTCTTGAAGTCATTTGCTTGTTAATATACTGACTTTGAGGTAGCCATCAAACATTAGGAAATTCTGACCTTGAGAACAGATACCACACTCAAGAGATGGCAGAATGAGGAGCTAAGACACAGGCAACTTCATGGAGCTGCCAAATCAACTCTGATTATTTCATTCCTGAATTTTTTCATGTGAGACAGAAATAAGCATATCTTGCTTAAGCCATTTTAATTTTGGGTTCTACACTGTACCAAACAGCTTTCTATCATGATAACTAAATATTGAGGCAATTAATTCATTAAAAAAATGTTCTCCGTGCTGCTTTCCCAAAGAATTAAAAGAATCATACCATA